TTGACTAATAATATCGTTTATTCTGTACGAATAGCGACTAGCCAAGTCAATAATTTCCGTTTCACATCGACCAAGTCCGTTCATGTGAAACATTTCCAAGCGTTTACAAAGAAATCATAAAATTCAATTTGTGTTCCATTCGCATAATTCGAATGCAATATTTTTGTGGCAAATGTAAACAATATATCAACGAATTAGAAAGTTGAAAGTATGTACACTGTACATCGGTGCAAAATGATCGTCGCACAAGTGTCTTTCAAAATCGTATACTTAATTTTGATTTATTTCTTCATCTCTATTCTGGCTTAAATGGCATCAAACAAAAGTGAAAAAGGCATGCACATTTATTTATTTAGAAGTTCAATCGCACACTCTCCCTCTCACACTTACGCTCCATAGGAAGTATGATATTTACGTTGGGCTTCCGACCAAGTGATGATTGTGATGTCATTGCATTAATTTGCACAAATTGGGTCACATTTACAATATGCTTGCATTTGAATTGATTCATCGCATTCAGAAAATCTTCTGCGACGCGGAACAAACGAACGAATCGAGTGGAGTGTGCATACAGCCGTAAAGCGTAAACACAAGGTGATTGCTAATATACAGTGACACATAAATATTTACATAAAAGTGTAGTGTGCGCAATGCCAATGAAGCGAAAAAGAGCGATAGCGAAGTGATAGAAGAAAGACAAACTAGATACCAACAACAATGGAATAAATTCAATCTTTTAGCAGAATCAAAGTAAAATGACATAAACAAATGAATACAATGCCAATGATCAAAATATGAAAGCACCTCCACCAAGACGACAATGCTGGTAGAACCTACAATGCAATCAAATACAGGACATGATTGACACAATGCACAATATATGCATACAATATTTGTACAAATAAAAGCGTTTTGTTTGAAATCTTGAACTCTTTGATTTTTTCATGTTTTTTTTTTTAAGGATAACTTTAAGATTTATAGTATTTGATGATCAATGATGAGAACTCTACTTACGATAACTTTATCATTCTCTCAATTCGTCTATGTGTTTCGATATCATGTGACATTCACTGGGGTATTTCGGGTAATGAATTGAGTGAATGAAATAATTGGGTTGCGGTCAAAGCACTTGAAATTTACGACACCAAAAAAAATTATTACTCAATAACTTAGAAATGAGAGAAAGTTTTCAAGCTAATTTATGCTCAAGCAGTTTGATGGCACTTTGCTATCGCCCCAGGTATTACTTTGCTATTGAATAATCGATTCATGCATGTGTGCGTGTGGCGAATCGTTTAATGGAAATTGTATCCATTTTCTGATATTGTATGTAGATCGTATCAATGAATGCAAAATCGCTTTTGCATACAAGAGACAAAACCCGTAAATATTTTGCATTTAATTAAATTTCCAAAGGCGCATCGACATCAAACCGGAAAACACATAGTAGCAATTCTATTATGATTCCTTTTTATCTTTTACAATACATGTACACGCACCATATAGAGAAAACAATTATAGATACCACACTTCTTCCGCTGAATTTTTAATTCGACTTGCACAAGGGTTGTTGAATAAATGTAGTAAACGAACGCCCGATAAAAAGTTTATAGTGTACCTGCTTCATTTAGTCAAATTGGATTGCAGTTCTGAACTACGACTTTATAAATTATGCTTATATATTAATTCCAAAAACTGGTAGTTTTTGTTCAGAAAAGTCTTAAATTATGCATTTTTCTGAGTTTCTTTTGTAAAAAAATGTTGAACATTTTCTTAGAGTCTGAGATAATGTTATACGTGTTCTAAAATAGATTTTTTGTTTGCAAAAATATTGGACGTCATCAAGCTTTTGATACAATAAAAAATGAAAATTCAAGTATTTCAATGCTTTCCTTGTTTCCTTTTTTGGAAATGTTTACTGAGCTTTAGTTTTTGTCAACATTTTTGGAATGATGAGGAAGTACGGCAAATGTGCTTTATTAATTGAAAAAAAAAAGCTAAAAATGTTTATTTAAGGACTGCTCATTAAAAACTCTCCCTGCAAAAGTTACCATTTTTGCATTGAAATCTAGATTGAAATAGTCACGAAAGTAGTAGTTCAGAGAACGGAGCCAATTTGTCGAAACGACTAAAACAAACAGACTACAAACTATTTTATAAACTACCTTTGCACAAGAAAAAGAAAATTCAACGCGAGAAATGTGTAATCAAAAGCTTGCTGCAAAGTAATCATAATGTAAAAAGTTGAATTTATGACAAGTCCGGATATTTTTCAATCTGATGTAAGATATTTGGTGTAACTGTTATATATTGTACTATGCCTGTATATATTGTATAAAATTGTGATGTGCAAGTGTGCGTGTCTAAATCAAAAAGTACGTATAGAGGTTTTAAGTGAATTTAGATATCGCGCACACCAATATCAACGACATGCGGCATGAAAAACAATGCCATTCTATTTAATTCGGTGTTCGCATGTTCAACGTTAATTATCCTCATTTGTTTATGTATATAATGCAATGTTTGACTAATCTTATTTTATTATGACAGATAAATAATTGAAGTTAATCTTCGCAAATGAATATGCGACAAGTCAACTCCGATTTGTATATATGTATAGCATATACATAATGCGTGCACAGACTTATTAGTTGAATGAAAATTGAAGATTCTTTTCCAAAAATAGACATACAAACTTACAAACATTTTTGCATTTTACTCGCATTTCCATGGCTGAACTTTTTTTTATAGTCTTTTAATGAAAAATAAATATCATAACTTTGCTTACATAGAATGACGAACAAAAGAAGGGAAAAAATGTATATGTGTCTGTGTATGAGTAAGAGAGAATGAGAAATGAATGATGGAAAGCTTAATATATTTCAATAAACATATGAAAAGTATTTCATGACATGATAACTTTGTGCTGAACTTGTTCCATTCATACTTAACGATATTCGTCAATCTAAACTAGTGTGCGGTGACTATAACTATTTTTCAATGCAAAGATGTGTAGCATATCGTTCTATGTCAAGGACGCCGTTAGTGATATACATTGGTTTCGTTATTTTAGCAACATTTTAATGTGTCTCGAATATGCAAAGAGCTTTTTAGTTATTTTGTCAAATGGAGTGAATTTTTCACGTTGGTTTTGATTTTTGTTAGGCAAATTGATTAAAGATTCCGATTGAAATAATTCAATGCTGACAAAGCTTTAAGTTTGTAAATAAAGCGACCGTAAGCATCAATTATACATTCAAAGAGACGAAATGTTTTTTTTGCACAAAACAAGTTACGAGTGATTAGTTTAATTTATTAGTCGAGCTCATGTAAAGCGATAAATATTTTTATAAAAAAAGTAAATCCATAAATTTTCTAGCAGAATTAAGTTGTTGCTTTTATACATTCCAACGAATGATTTTTACCATACATTTTATGTATCTTCATTTCGTTTATTATTATTTTATTTATTACCGTGTCGCATCATCTGAAAGCTCGACTAAAATTCAACTTCATAAACTCAACCAAATTCAAAAATCACTTGTACGATGAGTTATTCGTTCACCCTATTGACATTTATTCCGATTAAATTCTGATTAATATAGAATGAAAAGGAAAAGACAAATAAACGCAGAGAATACAAAAATCATATAAAATCAGGAACGTTGAATCGATCACAAAACAAACACAATAAACAATGTCAAATTCAATTTGTTACGAATTGGAATTATGTTTTGATTTTGTCTGTACACCAGGGCCCACTTTTCCCAGGGAATGGATTTCATTAATTTGTTTACTTTGGTTTCGTGTCAATGTCGTAAAAGGTGAAACACACACACGCACACAAATTTGTGTTTTATTATTGTATAGGCGTCTCATTGTTATTTATTCCCTCATGTTGTGCGGCTGTCTCGCATTGCATTGTTCTTTGAATGTGGATCGCACTCGTTCGATATGTATGCGAATGTAGATGTGTGTGTGTGTGTGCGTATTGTGTTAAATGTGATGTATTTATCTTTTCATTACTTGTTTATATTCGGAATCTGTTTCCATTTTGTCAACGATTATAAGTCATTGTTGCTCAATATTTTCTATGTTCTATGTCGAGTAGTTTTTGAGCTGTTTTATTGAATATGGTATGCATACAATGCGTGCGTGCGAGCAAGCGTGCGTATATAGTCAAGTGTGCTCACTTTAAATAATTATTGGGTGTAGTTTCAAGAGCTCGAAAATTTATGCAATTGGAGATTTTTGACCTGAAATAATGTTGTGTAAAGGATTTCGTTTGTATTTCAATGTGATGAAAATTAAATCGGTATTTAAATAGATGCTAAATGTGACACATGTGCGACAACAAAGGGCCAGTCTCGAAATGGAGACACAAAGTGGTTTGGTTAGTTTTTGTTTAATGTTTTGTGATATGTATGTAAATTCATTTATTAGTCACCGCACATCAAATGATGTGCAAAGCGAAAATGCAATTCAGACCACATTCGCAAATTTCAATATATCTAATGGATCATCAATTTGTATAGTATAATTCAGTGAATTTCTTCGATTGAAACATTTACAGCGTAATATTTATATATATCATACACTATTTAATGTACTATTGATTTACATCTTATGCACATTTTCTTTTTCCTAAAAGCAAAATGACAATTTGTCTCCTGATTTGAATATCATATAATGAAAACAAACTAAACTTTTGTAAATGAACATTCGTATTGAGCAAGTCCATTGTACTGATTATAATTCGTATTGTGTGTGTTAAGGCTAATTTGATGAAACCGTTTGTATATGAAAATATTAATATTTTCAAACCATTTTGATTTTTATACGATTGAAAAAGAAAATATGAAGAAAATGCATCAATCATAAAATCACTCATTTTGGGTTTTCTTCCCTTATTTATGTTTTTCAATTGTTTTCCCCCTCTTTTCATTTCACCATTTGAATTGACACCATCGATTGAACATTCGTATCGACATTTAAATTAGATGGATCAATACGACCAGCAAAAGGATGGCGCGCTGAACATAAGGCTGCCCGCACACTGGGAATAATAATGGGTGTATTTTTGCTGTGTTGGCTTCCATTTTTCCTCTGGTAAGTACTCATTGACACATAAGATTTTATCATTAAGTTTTCCACAAATCAATGATTTCAATAGCTCCAAATGCAAATAATTTCCATCAGACACCATGCAATCGATTGCAGCTCTTGCATATTCATTTTCATTGTTGACGAAATAAGAAGAAACAAATCTTGAATTCCCGCGCATTGAAAATTCGAATGTAAATGCTCAAGATTTATTTGCACATATTCGTGTTTGTCGTTTTGGCTGCCATAAATATTGATTGGCGAACGCGAAACAGAGAGCAAAAGGCCAATGACCAAAATCTATTAAATCGAACGCTTTATTTATTGCCATAAAACTCTAATCAATATCGTTCATTTTGTGAGTTTGTCTTTGTGACTTTTTCGTACAGTGTGTTTACTGTTTACATTTTGCATTCGTTGCGCGTAATCCGTACCGCTTTTTTATTGTTCTTCTTTCAAAGAAAAACTTATTAGCGTAATGCCATTTCGTGAATGTGTACATTATTCAATGCTCTTGTTCACAATTCCCACACTTAATTGCCTGCCCATGTAGACTGTCTCTAATTAAATAACTCGTAATTTATTTTCATGCTTACTATTTATTCGACGGCGCTCTTATATCTTGCTTGTTGGTATTGGTTTCGATTATGGGAATTTGAGTTTGCAATTCGGTAAAATGGCGATGCGGTGATTTAGTGGCTAATAATATTGAAATCTAAATCAATACATTGAAGTGGGTACCTTCATTTCTCACAAATAACATTCATAACGAATTATTGCTTCATCAGCTTCAATAATGGTACACAGCGTTAGTGAGTTTCTTTTCAATAAAATGGAATGTGTGTGGTTAGATATTTATATGTATATGAACTTCACGATTGCCATTTACACAAATATGCGAACAAACACATTTTCTGGTCAAGTGTTTGAATGATGCAAATTAAGTGATACTCACTGTGGTCAAGAACAAGTAAACTTGGAATATTTTCAATGAAGAAAACACAGCACGATTTCACCTTTCTAGGTTTTAAGATCAATATACGTTTATTAATTTGAAATGAACATAAACGAACAAACGAAAACCATTTTCTCTTTGTCGCTTCAGGTACGTAACAACATCATTGTGCGGTGATGATTGTCCATGCTCTGATCTATTGGTGACCATATTATTTTGGATTGGATACTTCAATTCTATGCTGAATCCATTAATTTACGCTTACTTCAATCGAGATTTTCGTGATGCTTTTCGTAATACGTTGGAATGCGTTTTTTTGAATTGCTGTTGGGCGAAAAAGACACCGTATAACGCATACTATGTGTAATCGATACCCCCGAAATTAAAGCCAGCACTTTTGGATTATTCATTTATAAACCGATTAAAAAAAAACAATTTGCAGAAGGAAAAATCCATGGTATGAAATTCACTTTTTGTTTGTTGAATCAAAGGCGAAGAAAGGACATCCTATTGAATTATTTGTAGAATGAATGACAACATATGGGCGATTCATATACAATTACCATTTGAAAAAGGCACAAAATGAATTGAACGTGAAATTGGCGACTTTTGCAAAGGTTCAAAACGTTTTTTTATACTTTTTTAATATGATGAGTTCCAATGATTTTTCATAGATTAGTTAATTATTGTTCTAAACAGTTCTACACACAAAATTGCTTTAAATTATAAATGATCAAAGTGGTAGAATTTAAGTAAGTACAATATGAGCACACATAAATTAAACTTGGCAGCAAAGAAATGAATCTGGTGAACACAAAATATGAAGAAGTAAAATATCCAATTGAAAAAGCCAGATGGGCGAATTAGTATCAAAATACCAAGAGTATTAACAAGGATTAAAATATTATTGGAAGTATCGAAAAAATATCGGCAAGTATCGTAGTTTCTGTACTTTCCAGCATTTCTTCAGTAATTTTGGTAATATTATAACATTGTTAACTAAAAGGGGTTTATTGAATGTTGTTGGTGGTGAAGACGGAATTTTTGATGTATTGATAGTGATTCGCTCATTGTAAAAAAAACCGCCACATAACATATTGTGATATGTGCTAATCTATGCCATAAAGAAATGGTCGAGTCCGATTTTCATAAGTTTGGTTTACAAGGTTCAGTTCTCTATTTTTGCTCCCAAATACTCATATTAAAATCGTATTTAAGAGATGTTAGTATCGATCATATCAGAAATATAGAAATGCATAGTGCAAAGAATATTTAGATTATATAATAAGCTGTCACACGTAAATAAAAACGTCTGTCTTTCTCCATATTGTTGGTCTATGAGTACAACGTTTATTCCTATATTGATATATCAATCAATATGAATTGAAGATATATTTACCTCAGCAAAGTCAAACCATTGAAAATATGTGTGTTACAGATTTAAATCGTAGCACTTTTTGAGGAAATTGATTGCGTCAGTCATTCGGTCACACACGCACCACCAACTGGTCAATAAAATGTCAACACCGACATAACTACATATTTTTAAATTCAAGCAAATCAAAAACCAAAAATTTTATTTAAGATATGCTTTTAAGTATAATAATGCATTTAAATCGAGAAAATACAGAAAATATTCAACAAATTAAATTCTATGTATAAGAAAGAGACTGGCGCTTTCCATAACCACCGAATGAACAAACCAAGAAATAAATAAATGCATCGCTTACGAAGTGAATGACATCAATTAGTGTCTGAAGTGTTTACTATTAGATCGTATATTAATATATTTATATTTTTGCTGAAAGAAATTTACACATACATCTTTGAATAACCGTTACCATATTAACCATTCAAGTAAGTTCCTCGAACGTAACGAAACAACATAAAATCAATTTGTTACGATGTATAGGTGTGTGTATGTGAATGGTATTCGATTTGGTGGCGAAGATTTGATTTAAAAGTGTCTGCTCATGTAATGTCGACAAATCTATCTAAAAGCAGTTCCTTTGAGCATTTAAGTTTAATGTTGTTTTAAATGAATAGAAAAGGTGAATCAAAAGAATAAATCCCATTGTTTCGTTGCTGTATTCATCTCGATGCATTTGTTTACTTCGCTTTGTTGCCACAAATTACACATACACACATGTATCTTAAATAGCAATGGGGAAAACGTACTCAAGAGTCGGTGCACAAACTATGACAAAAACGTTACAATAGAACCAGAACCAGAAACCTATCCCATTGTATTTTTTATACAAAACATAATTTTCCCAATAAGAAAATTAATATCTCTTCTGTCGATGTACCTTAATGGAAAGTAGTAGTGAAGATATAATCGTAATGCAACTGATTTTTATTTTTTAAGCTATTGAACAAAATAGTTGAAAAACAACAAATCAATAAAACTATTGTAATTAAATACTTTTATGAACGATACGCTATTCGCATGTAACTGTGTCGTATTTGATGTATAAACTGTGTTAAATAGAAAGCGAACTACATAAAAATACTGAACCTAATGAAATGATGTCATTAACTTAAACAATTTGAGATAAATATTAAGAAAATGAATAAGAAAAAAGAAACATTTAGGAAATATTTCGTTTTATGTTCAACATGAACTCGAATCTCAATTACAAACAATTCGAGACGAAGAAAAAACTTGAATGAATATGTTTTATCGGCCCAAACAAATAACAGCAATAATTTACACATAAAAAAAAACTTAAATTATAACAATGATTATCGTAACGAGAAAATGAATTAAATAAATTAAACAAAAAAAAACTGTCACATAAACGAAGACAAAATATATAAAGAGAGTAAAAACACGAAAATCACATTTTTTGGTGTAGAAATTTAATCAAGCCGGCAAATATAAATCAGATATTAAATAAATTGAAAATGCCTTCGTTATAAAAATATAATCACATTGCGTTTTTTTCATTCAGTTTTCTAGTTTTATTTGAGTAAATTCAAAGTTGTTAGATTACTTTTAGATGTAGAAGCTAATAAAGGTTGACACATGTCCTTTGGGTATGACCCATTTGAAATGCCATTCATTTAGGGAGGTGGCTCAGAACGACAGATACGGCTCCCCCTATCCAGCCTGACAAATTTTTGCGATTGCCTTGAAACCGGCCTAGGGATTCAGTGACTAATTTGTGACAATTTGTGACCCCATTACAGTGTTTCAAATTTTTCAATGCCAATTCATTCAATTATAATTACCATTAGTTAATGTAAATTGAAATTTTCAATTTATTTTTTTCAATTCATTGAATTGAATTTTCAATTACCATTTACATTCAAATTGATAAATGAATTGAAGTTTATTTCAATTGCGTGAAGTTGCAGAGATTGATGCCTTATGCGGCATTTGTGCATAGCTAATGTCAAAAGTGAGGTTAATATTTGAATGCGCACATTCAACAATAACGGTTGCTGTGTCAATAAGTTTAAAAGAAATCGCAGCAATGAAAACAGTTTCAAATTTTAATTTTTTTAATTTGTATATTAATATTAAATTTCAAATATATATACATTTTAATTTACATTCAAAGTGTTATTATAAATGAATTGACGGTAAAAAATTGAAAACAATCGAGAGTAGTGATATGGGAGCCAACTAGAATCTCTGCAACTTCACGCAATTGAAATGAATTTCAATTCATTTCTCAATTTGAATGTAAATGGTAATTGAAAATTCAATTTAATGAATTGAAAAAAATAAATTGAAAATTTCAATTTACATTAACTAATGGTAATTGATTTTCAAATAAATGAATTGAAAAAACTAATCATTATTTCAAACTCTGCCCCATTATTTTGGCCCTTGGAATAGACCTTCGTCCACTTTTGGCCATTTTTCTATTTAGGCCTATTGGCCAAAAAGTCTCTTTGCGAAATTTTGGATGAAAGCAAAAAATGAAAATCAAATGATGCACAATTTTAGTGACCAATTTGAGACTCACAAATAAGACTTTAGATTATCGATACGACATCTGGTTGACATATTATGAACAAAAAATTGAAAAATCCACAAAAATGATTTTAATCGGAAATTTGAAAAGGCTTTTCATAAAAAAAGGGCAAAATTATAAAAATTCTTCGACATAATTTTAGTGACGAATTTTTGACTCTCAAAAATGTCAACATTTGAATTTGTGACACAAAGTGTGTGACAGAAATCTCAATTTTTCGATTTTCACACTAAAAGTCGAAAATCAATGAAATTTTTCAAATCGAATAGGTATATGGAATAAAGAGTATGCGTATTTTATCAAGCTATATATATTCGGCATCGAAATATTCTTTAATTTAATAGCAGAAGTACTCGCAAAAGATTTTTCACACTTTCATGATGAACCCATTTGTATGACATTTGAAAGTATTCTATTTTCTAACAAAACACTTTAAAAAATATGTCTGACGTTAATTTTGCCATAAAAATTATTTCTGAAACACTTTTCATAACTAAAGTCACAAAAAATTTGGATTTTTGTATGGGAGCCATGTCTGTATGCTACCTTAATGGCGTGAAACTTTATACAGGTTTTTTTTTACAAAAAATAACATTCGGAGGGTTTGGAGAAATTTCAACCAAAATTAAGAATACCTCCCATACAAAATATTCGTTTTTGAGTCAAATGAAAATGATAGATACAGAGATCAACTACTGAGATCATAGTGTTCTTTTATCCTGATTGCAAGTGTGGCTACGGAAGTCATACTTATTTTCTCAATTGATTTGTCCATCGTCATTCGAACAAAATGTCTACCTTTCAATAAGTACAACAAAGAAAAATGGGCGATAAGGAGAGAGCAAAATGTAAATTAGGCATTTCTCTTCGAATGACTTGAAATTTTCAAGTTGAAAACATCCAAAGAGATGTATTTTGTATCAACTTTGCATTTGAAATGTTGTCTTTACTTTATTTATGCAACACTCTGCATGTTAGCTGAATGGATTTTCCATTCCAGGATTTTCAGCAATATTCTATTTTCTCGGAAGTTATGCACTCTATGCATAAAACTTAAGCAAAGACTTTTGCGGTTAAAATGTCTGAAACGTAAAATATTCAAATGAAATGACATTTTTTCGTTGTTCCTTTTAACAAGCAATGTGCAAAATGTTATAGTAAGTGCTATGTTGACAAACCACTAAATATTTTACAAACTTCACGTTAAACAACCTAGCTGAACACAACGAACGCTCAAAATCTTAACTTGCTCAATGAATGAACAACTCAACAGATATTGAAATAAAAATAAAATGATACCAAACGACACTGGCACGAAAGAGTTAACATCTATCACTTGGTAAGTCAGCAATTGAATGGAGGTAAGTGAAAATGCTGGGCAAAAGAGGTGAAATCGATTCAAGGGAGAAAAAAAATCAATTTACATATACAATTCGGCTATATATA